TGTCAGGGCGGTCATTGGTGGTAGCCGGGCACCATCCAGTTCTTCTGGTCTCAGGCTGATGAAGTCTCTGGTTTATGTGGCCCTTTCTGTCTCTGGGGCTAGTACTTTCCTTGTGTCTTTGATGTTCTTCATTCTCCTTTACTCCAGGTGGTTGGGACCAATTGATGCATCATAGATGGCTGCTTGGTAGTTTTTAAGACCCCAGACGCCACTCACCAAAGTAGGATGCAGAACATTCTCTGAATGCTTCTTTTTAAATTAAGCTTCTACTAATATTTTTAAATAGCAGATGTTAAAAGCTTAAATATTATAGAGGGCTATTTTAAAAATAAACTTGGTATTATTAGAGTCAGAATTAAATAGATATATCTGAGTGTTTCTGGATTATTGTCAGCTCTTATCAGTCACTGGTAGCCCTGATTTTCCATATGTCTGGCTAGAGATGATCATTTATTCAATAAATATTTTAACAGTACCATCAGTAGACAATATAATGGTAGAGCTTCCATTCTAGTATGGGGCCACAGACAGAAACAATTAGGTTAAAGTATTGTGGATCATATGGTGATGAGTGCTTTGGAGAAAGATAGAGTCGAGTATAGGGGATAGAGACTGTGCTGTAGGGGAGGAGTTACTACATTGAAACCCTTGAGAGCTGGAACTAGACGGGACTGCCTTGTGTTTCTGTATCTCGCAAGTTTTCTGCCTTTGACAGGGTGCAGTCTAAAAACCATTTTTCTGTCACTCTGTTAGTGTAAAATATTTGAGTTTTCCTTCTCTGACAGGTTTCTGCCTTACACAGGTTCCAGGTTTCACAGGTTTTACTGTATTAGGTAGATAGGTAAATAGGTCAGGGAAGGCCTCACTGAGAATGGCATCTAATCAAAGAGTTTCAGGAAGTAGGGGAGCAAGCCATTTGAATAACTGGGGAAGAGCAATGTTATAAGAAAAGGGAAACACTAGTAGGCCTGAAGGCTAGAGCATTTTTGTCAAGTTCACAGAACAGCAAGGAGGCCAGTGTGGTTGGAGCAAAATGAGGAAGGGGGAGGGTTATAGGTGATAAGATCAGAAAGGTGGAAGAGGGTCAGATCATGTAAACCACTTGCCATCAAGTCAGCTCTGACTGATGGTGACCCCATGTGTGTCAGAGTAGAACTGTGCTCCATAGAGTTTTAAATGGCTAATTTTTCAGAAGTAGATTGCCAGACCTTTCTTTCAAGGTGTCTCTGGGTAGAACTGAAACCTCCAACCTTTCACTTAGCAATGGAGTGCATTAACCATTTGCACCACCCAGGGACTCCTCAGATAATGTAGGGGGATTTGGAAAGTATATCTCTGGCTGCGGTGTTGAGACTAGACTACCCAGGATCTAGGGAGACCAGTTAGAAGACTATGTCAGTGAATTTCCTCTAGTAGTCAGTTTTTACACAAGGAAAGGGAGGTCATAAATGGAAACTAATTTGTATGGATACTTGTTGTTGGCTGGTGACACCATGCACACTGGAACAAAATGCTGCTTGGTCCTGCACCATCCCCATCATTGGCTTCAAATCAAACAATGTTTCTTTGTGATCCATAGGTGTCTTAGTTATCTAGTGCTGCTATAACAGAAATACCACAGTGGATGGTTTTAACAAACAAGTTTGTACTCTCACAGTTTAGGAGGCTAGAAGTCCGAATTTAGGGTGCCAGCTCCAGAGGAAGGCTTTCTGTCTCTGTCAGCTCTGGTGGAAGATCCTGGTCATCAGTCTTCCCCTGGTCTAGGAGCTACTCAGCGCAGGGACCCCGGGTCCAAAGGACACATTCCAATCTTGGCTCTTTTTTCTTGGTGGTACTGAGTTCCTGCTCATCTCTGCTTGCTTATCTCTTTTGTATCTCAAAAGAGATTGACTCAAGATACAACCTATCCTGTAGATTGTGTCCTGCCTCATTAGCATAGTGGACAGCTCACTCCCAAATAGTGTCATAATTACAGGCATAGAGGTTAGGATTTGCAACACATAGGATAATTAGATGACAAAATTGAGGACAATCAGACAATACTGGAATCATCGCCTAGCCAAGATGACACATATTTTTAGGGGACACAGTTTAATCCATGACATAGGGTTTTAACTGGTTGCTAGGCCTTTCTTCCTACTCTATCTTAATCTGGAAGCTTTGCTGAAACCTGTTCAGCATCATAGGAACATGGAAGCCGCCACTGATAAGTGGTTGCTGTGCATCAGGTGTATTGGTCGGAAATTGAACCTGGGTCTCCTCCCACATGTTGTTCTACGTTTGAACCATCAATGCTTCTGTGCCTCATGGGTATGAGCCTCCTATGGATACTAGTTTGGTGCTAAATCTGACACATCGTTTCTTAGAATCTCTTTAAGAATGTATCTGAAGCTTTTCAGTTACTTTAGGCTATGCATCAGTAGGTAATCGATACATTGTTTATTTTGTGCTTTTAAGAAAGTATTGACATTGTTTGTAATCTTATCCAAAATCCAATATTAAGCCCATTTAAGCTATTTAGATCCTTATCTTTTAGACTGATGTTTTACATAACTACAGAAATTTTTTTAAGCATAGAAATGCAGATTTGTTATTCTGAGAGAGAGTATACTTGGTTTCAGAAGTAATGCTTAACTGTGTTTTAAATATGCAGGATCAAAGTATTTTTCTCTTTTACACTGTTGGTTTTTTGTTTTCCACTTTGTAGGTCTAAAATTTCTTATAGTGCATCTAATTCTAATAAGGATGTATGGTGTAGTATAGTGGTATGTCTGTATATGGTTGGGATCACCTTAAAGGGAAAAAATTATTTGGTGTATTCAGATCCTCTAGCGCACTGGTTAAGAGCTTGGCTGCTAACCACAAGGTCAGCAGTTTGACTCTACCAGCCACTCCTTGGAAACCCTGTGGGGCGGTTCTACTCTGTCCTGTATGGTCACCATGAGTCAGAATCAACTCTACGGCAAGGGGTTTGGTTTGACTTTTTGGATTCAGATCCTCTAGGGTGGGTTTTTTAAATGACAACATATAACTTTAATTTCCTTTGTAAAACTAATACATAGTTATATTTTTGTGTACAAAGAAACAGAAAACTTTAATATTAAAAATAGCATAATGACTCCACATCACAATCCAAGTTAGATTGTTTTAATGTATATATCAGAGATCAAAAAGATTCAGAGAAAACAGGATAGTTAGAAGTACATTAGGATTTGCGTATGATGAGTGGTTGAAAGAACAATTGCAGTGTTACATTGTGGTGTAACGGGTCACTTTTGTGTGGCCTTTCCAGCCATGGTCGTACAACTTCCACCCTAGTGATTGGGTGGGACTGTGTGATAGGGTGATTGTGGCCCACCAAGGGGATTGGTAAGTTTTGCCATCCCGCTAGGCTTGAAATGAGCCACTCCAGAGGTGGGAAGAGGATCCCACCACCACTAAGGAAGAACAGCCAGGAGCCAGCAAGTCTTTTGGACCTGGGATCCCTGCGCTAAGAAGCTCATGGAACCAGGAGACAGAGAGAGAGAGAGAACGACAAACGACAGCAGGAGATGGCATGGTAGACTGAGTGCCTAGGGTGCCTCTGGAAACTTATTGGCAGCGGCTATAAGAGCTTTGTAACACTTGCCCAAGCAGGACAGAGGCTGTGAGGGCCAGGGAGAGGCATGCCTGTGAGCACAGCTGAAAAGAGGCTGTCCTGATGGAAGAAGTATATCCTGAGTGTTCCTGAACCTGAATTGTAACCTGTTACTTCCCTTAAAAACCCCATAACTGTGAGTATGGTCTGGGAGTTCTGTGTGACCATTGCAGTGAATTATCAAACCAAGCAGAGAAGTGGAGTGTGCTGTGGGAGGGATGCTTCGTGTCAGAATGATGGTCAAGCTGGTGGAGAGAGTGGCCTTGTCTGACCTCTGCCTCATAGAAGTCAGCCTTGGGCTGTCGATCTTAATTCTCCTTCCCCCTTGTGAAATTAGAGGACGTCAGATGCTGCCTGCATGCTGTTTTTACATATGTAAATGAGAAATTCTGTACAAGGAATTTTGGTTGAGAGATTCATAAATGTGAAAGCTATGATAGAAAATGATTCCATCTTCTTTATTCTGTCTTACATTTTATAAAATAAAAGTTTTTGATTGTTAAATTCGTTAGCAATATACTGACCAATGCAACTTAATAGAAATAATTAGTAAAGATATTAGTAATGTACTTAGTTGTGTAGTTTATGGCCAGCTATAAAGGTGTATTTTTATTTTCTCAAATTTATATAACAAGCACACTAGCAGGATTTTCTTTTTTTAATAATTTATTTTTGTTGAGAATATACGTAGCAAACCATATACCAATTCAACAGTTTGTACATGAACAGTTCAGTGACTAATTGCATTCTTTGGGTTGTGCAATCATTTCACTTTCCTTTTCTGAGCTGTTCCTCCCCCATTTTAACAATGGCATGGAGGTGGCTTCTGACATCCTCTAACTTCACAAGGGGAAAGGAGAATCAAGATCAACAGCCCAAGGCTGCTTCCTATGAAGCAGAGGTCAGACATGCCTCCACCCTCCAATGCAGGGATCCCAGGTCCAAAGGACATACTCCGCTCCTGGCACTCCTTCCTTGGTGGTGGTAAGATCCTCTCTTTCCCACCTCTGGGATGGCTCATTTTAAGCCTAGCGGGATGGTAAAGCTGACCAATCCCCTTGGTGGATCTCAATTACCTTATTTGCACAGTCCCACCCAGTCACATGGGTGGGAGTTACAAGGCCATGGCTAAAAAGGCCACACAAGTGATCCATCATACCGCATCCATTATCATAAATTTACGGCCCCCTAAATTTCCTATATAATCTTTCAAGTTGTTGTTGTCAGTATAATCCCATATAGACTTAAAAGAGCACAATGTTCAAGGCAGACATTCTTTACTAGTTAAGCTAAACTATCGTTTGCTTTTAAGACGACTTCAGGGGATATTTTTGGTTTAAGGTTTAAAGATTATGTCAGGACAATAGTTTTGGGAGTTCATCCGGCATATAGTTATATTTTACTGTGAAGCAGTTCTTGCTTTGGAGCTACCATAGATATGTTTTAAGGGTACATCAAAGCATTCAGCTAATTTGCAAAATTTTGTTCTTAATTAAGTGCTTTACTCCACTTCCCCATGCTCTGGCCGAGGTCCTCCTGAGTTCAATATCCTGTTACTGTCCATGAGTTCAGATTATATCTATAGTTTACTTTCACCTTATTCTCTCAAGTGTCAGATGAGAGTGGAGCACCTCCTACCTCTGCCTCCTGCCGTTCTCCAAATTTTGTCCCTTGATAAGCCAAAATGGCAAAAAGTGGGAAAAGAGGGGTTGCAGTTGAAAAATATAACTGTGTACATGTATTTCGTATTTTTTCCTCAGAAACCCTACCTTTTTCTCCCTGCAGCATTGTTTTCCCCTTTTTAAGCTTATTAGAGGACCCAAGAGGGTTGTTTTAATGACTGGAGTATGATTCCAAACTGACTTGGGAACAAGCCAGCTGGATAGTTAATTTAGTCAGGCTGTGAAGGTGGGATAAAGAGTTGGCAAAGTAGATAAGGACCAGAAAGAAGAGAACAGTGTGTTTGAGGTTTTGTCTTTTTTTTTTTGTTTTTCTCCTTAGGCTGCTCTCATTTAACCAGTTTTTCAGCAGCTGCCTTCTCCTAACCGCACTGGAATCTGCTTCTAAAGAGCACTGTTAGTATGTTCTGTTCTTTAGAATATGGTTTCTCAACATCAGCACTGTTGACATTTTGAGCTGGATTATTCTTTGTTGTTGGGGGCTGTCCTGTGCCATGTAGGATGTTTAGCAGTGTCCCTGCCTGTACCCACTAAATGTCTCCAGAGATTGCCAAATGTCTCCAGGGGGGCGGGGGGCAAAAGCCTCTAGTTGAGAACCACGGTTCTAGAAGAAGGCTGTTTTAATGTCCTGGCTGACAGCTTATATAAACATTGCATCAACTGTGCAATTACTTTTCAATTAATGAATTCTGGAAATAAAAGACCTTTGTGTTAAAGTAGGTTCTTTGGGTGGTAGAACCTTAATAGATCCTGTGACTTAGGCTTGATTTACACTTGAGAATCAAGGTCACTGATCCCACTGTGCCACATGTCTACATCTTCACAGGGCAGATATCTCCAGAAATACCCATCAGCTGTCAGGCTGCATACATTTTACACTTTTGGTGGCATTATCCCTTTGAACCTACATTCAGTGTTTATGAAAACCACATTATAATGATGATTCAGGGGCTCGAGTGTTAAGGCAGAGTGATTTACCCTGTGGCCTTTTATAGTATCTGTCTGGATAATAACAGATTGGTTTTCTTCAGCTTATTTAAGTTTATGTGGTATCTGAAGATCATTTCAGTCATTGGAGACACTTTATAACAACCCAAACTTAGAATAGCTAGGGACTGTTTTATGAGAATCACCATACGTTTCAAGCCAAATGTATTAGAAGGCAAGTAGGTGATTATGAACTCTGTAAATATAGTTCAGTTCCTTTGGCTGTACAGATCTGAAGATTGAAGCTATATATTAACTTGCTCCTGGGTAACCCTATATCCAGCTGCAGATTTTCATTATTAGTACAGATTCCCAGTGCAGTTACAGAGTATTGCTTCCGTGTCCATATGCTGTTCTAATAATCTAATTGGTAGAAGTTGAAATTTGAATTATATTGAGAGTAGCCAACATTGTGTAGCAGCAGCATCATGTTCCTTAGCATTTTCAAGCCTCATGTTATTCCACAAAATGATGAAGCTGGGTATGTTAAAGTTTAAAACAAAATGGTAATCATCAACAGCGAGGGTCTGAACTGTTAGATGGTCTAGTTCTTAAGGTGGTGATTTGTAGCATAGCTTCATTCCACTTGATTCTTTAGCAACCAGAAGGACAGATGGTTGGTAATAATTTCAGAATGATAGGTAATTTGTTTTTATATTAAGATTCTTTGGATGATATAGTTGTGAATGCAGTCAGGATCAGTAATTATATTTAGTTAATCAAGAGCCACTTATAGCAGGGAATCATAAAACACATGGTACTTTTTTTCTGCCAATTATTTGATAACAGTGCTCAAGACTCCTTTAAATATATATGTGTGCTCTTATAGTTCCCATTGTTTGTGGTAAAGTATAGCCTAGTGCTATGTGGTCTTGTTCTTGTTAGCTGCCATGGAGTCAGCCCCCAACTCATGACAACCTCATGCACAGTGGAATGAAATGCTACCCTGTCCTGTGCCATCCCCATGGCCTGTTGTGGATTTTCATTGGCTGGTTTTCAGAAGTAGATGGCCAGGCCTTTCTTCCTAGTCTTGTCTTAGTCCAGAAGCTCTGCCGAAATGTGTCATAGTGGATTCATCATATTATTTTTTTTTTAAATTATTGAAACAGGGGGACAGCCTCACAAAAGGAGAAAGACCTCTGATGCAAATGAAACTGAAGATCATTTGGAATCTTTAATATGCAAAGTAGGAGAAAAGGTATGTACCACAGTAGGCAACCTGCGATGGCCTTAGGGTTGTGGTTGACCCTGCTTTGATTACTTTCTGCAACTGAAAACAATGATCTAAGTTTTAGGCAACTCTCTTAACTATGCATCTGTATCCCAAAGTAAGTGCATATTAAAAACCCCTTGGATGCAGATAATTCAAAGTTAAAGGTTTCTAGTAATTTCCATAGCCTATAAGCTTAGAAGGGACCTTAGGAATAATCTTCTCAATTGATAAATGAAGACACCAAACAAGTCCTGGATACTTGAGGTGGTTTGCGCAGAGTCATATAGTGAGTTAGTAAGATGTGATAGAGCCTATGGTGTCCTCCCATTCCTAATACTTATTCTGCTAGACTACACTACTTTTTAACTCATTAATTCTCTTTTCATGGATTTCTAAAGAACAATAACTACCTAAATTGATTTATACTAATCCTATCATAGTACCTTATGCATATAAGACCTTAACTTTTTTCTTATCATCAAGAAATTTTATTTTAATTCACCAATTGCTGAGTACTTGACTGGTATGTAATATGATATCCTCTGCAGAGTGCCTGCTCTTTGGAGAGCAACCTAGAAGGCCTGGCCGGTGTTTTGGAAGCTGATCTTCCTAACTACAAGAGCAAGATCTTAAGGCTTCTTTGTACAGTGTATGTATGCAAAAGATATATGAATCCAGGTGAAAATGTAGTATCTATTCTTCAGTGGTTTGGAAATGTTTCCTTCTGTGGGGAAATTTGTGCAAATGAAAGGACCTCTGGTCCTTTGGTGAACTCTTTTTCTTAGGGATAAATAAAATTAAAATTGAACATTTTCCTTGTTTTGTTTCTTGGAATCTTAGAAGACTTTCTTAAAACATGTACATTTAAATAAGAGTTGAACTTGTGTTTTTTAACCAATAGTACCAGACAAATTTGAGAACTGGTCAGTTGAGTAATAGCCCACCTCTGAAGACCCAAGATGCTTTGCTTTTGAGACTATTAATGAGCAAAATCTTTTTCTGAGTTAGGTTAGCTAGAACGGGTATCAGCATTTAATTTGTGAGGAAATAAAAGTAGGAAAAATCTCACATTTTTATAAAATCGTGAAACAAACTCTCCCAGTGGTGAAGATAGCAGTCCAGACCTTGTCATCTCTCAGACAGACATTGATCTGCTTGATGCCTTTTGTTTTAAAAGCATAAATGCTTTTATGAATGGAAGTAGCATTTATGTTCAAACTGTGATGGAAACCATGACTTTTTTTTTAAGGTTTAACTAGTATTCTTTTTTTTTTTTTTTTTTTTTAAGAACATTGGTAGTGTTCTTTTTTAATTTTTGGTTTTGGGAGGGTTTGAGGGGGCCTGATTACTATCAATTCAAGTATTTTTTTGAAGCCCTAAATTGTCCCTGACACTCTGCTAGATACCTGGAAGAACAAACTAAATATAAGAGGATCCCTTCCCACTGAGTTATGGATTTTTATTTGCTTTTCTTTTTGAGCTAATTTCTAAAGGCTGCCTAAAGGAAGCAATATTTGCCTTTTCCAAAAATTAAGGTTTATTATTGTAATCCTCTTCCCTACTTTTCAAATAACTAATGAAAATTAACATGCTTGGAGCAAGCAAACTGAGCTATAAGTAAATCTTACTATTTCAGAGTACCATGTTAAGAATTCAGCAATTTAACTGGTAGGAACTTAGTTGAAACTGGTTTTAATTCTTCCTTTTCAAAGCAACTAGAATTTCTCAAAGTAGAATTCTGGTCCCATGATATTTGGTTAACTAAGTTTAGACACACTGAATGCTATATACCCTTTAATGATTCTGCATTAAAGAAACTTGTTACAACCAGCTTTCCCCAGATATTTTACCATGGAAACTATTTTCTGTGGAAGTGCTATTCAGTTCCACTAAATACAACTGGTATTTAGAAAACTGGTCTAGCATTATATTTTTTTCAGTTTGATAACTTCACAATTAGAGTGTTTTGCTTTCTTAACTCTTGCATCAACTAAACAGAATTTAAAGGAAAAATTGTGGATGGCATGTCTTCAGCTCTTCTCAGTGGCATTTATGCCTTTTCTGAACTAGTTTTCAAAACATATTTAAGAGTAATCCTGTTCCAAAGTTCATGAAATGATAAAAGGTTTATGTAATTTAAAATTCAGCAACTTAATGTAGTGCCATTATTTTGGGGGTTTTCTCGTACTGGGTTCTCAAATCAGTGCACGTCTGTTACCTGAGAAGTTGACGATTTATACAACATTGGTTGGACTGCTGAATGCCAGGAATTACAACTTTGGTGGAGAATTTGTAGAAGCCATGATTCGTCAACTTAAAGAATCATTGAAAGCAAACAACTATAATGAAGCTGTATATTTGGTAAGTTATTTTTTTGGTATACTATGACTTAGTGTTGGAATGGAGTGGGGAGGTGAATTACAGCCAAATAATTTCTCTTGAAATACAGTCCCCCACTCACCCCCAACAGCCGTGTTTTTAAAAACCATTCTCATTAAATGTACCCAGAGCTCATTACCAAGTCCAGTGGCTTGTTTTTCCTTTAAATCCTTATTGGTCTCCCTGCAGCATGTGATTTTTTACAGTATCTTCTCCTCCTTTGGTTTCTGCAACACCGCTTTTTCAGGACCTCCTGCTGCCACCCCCCTTGTATTCCTTAATCTCCTTTTACTAATCATCTTCCTTTGCCCCTTGAATGTTTGTGTTCCTCAGGGTTCCGTCCTCACTTTGCTTCTCCTTAAACGCTCTCTTGTAGCATTCACATAGCTTCATACCAAACAAACAAACAAAAAAACCCATTACCATTGAGTCAATTTTGACTCATAGTGACCCTTTAGGATGGAGTAGAACTGCCTCATAGGGTTTCCAAGGTGTGGCTGGTGGATTCAAACTACCGACCTTTTGGTTAGCAGCCAAGCTTTTAACCACTGCACCACCAGGGCTTCATAAACCACCTTTATTTTGATAATCCCCAAATCTGTAGTCTGTATCTCTAGCTACACTGTTTCTCCTGAGCTTTAGATCTGTATTCCAAATGCTACCTGGGTGACTCTCAGGTATCTTACTTGGAAGTTCCTAAATTAATGTATTCATACCTCCTTTCCTTCTGCCCTCCACCCAATGCACACAACACCCACCCAGTGGCCACCGTCTACTGAGTAACCAATCTAGAAACTGAAAATTAATTTTTATCTTCTCTTTGCCCCCTGATAACTGTAGGTAGCCCCCAAGCTCTATCAGGTCTACCTCCTAAATATCTCTTAAATCCATCCCTTCCCGTTTGTCTCTAGAATCTCTAACATTGTTCATGCCTTCCTCTTCCTGTTCTCTACAGCCTCTTAACTGATCTTTTTACATTCAGATTCTCTGCCTTTTTCACTGTATCTTCTACAGTGGCACCAGAGTGGTCTTTTCTATAACTTGGTTCTTCTTGTGTTAGTCTGCTGGTTGAAACTTCACTTCCTTCCCATTGTCTGCAGTGGCTGGTCTTCATAGCATGATACACACTGATTGGTTTGCAAGGAAGTAAATATTAGAACTCTTATTATCTTAAACGGAAATGGAATTAAGTTTTACTAATATTTAATACATAGATTGGCAGTGGTCCAGTGTATATTATAAATAAATATACATGTGGCGGAGGTATATAATCAGATTCTTTTTTACTGATAGATGTACACAGTTAAAAAATTTTGGACAGCCATGAGCCTATAGGATTAAGTCCAGACTCCTTAGCCTGACCCATTATGCTTGCCCTAATCTGTTCCTCCATCCTTGCCTCCCACCTTCCAGCGTTATCAAAATTACTTGCAAATTCCTGAACACACCTTGTTTTTGAACTCCTCTACCTAGAATGTCCTCCTTGCTCTCCTCTTGAAGAAAACTTTTCTCATCCTTTATGACCTAGCCCAATTGTTACCTCCTTTATGATGCTTTCCCTACTCTCTTCATCACTATTCCTAGAGCGCTTTTTATTTACCTTTTAATATAGGAGTCATCCCTTTGAGTTGAGATTGTGCTTGTCTTCTAGACTATGAGCTCCTATATGGCTGAGACTTTGGTAGTGCTTAGCAGTGGCACACAAAGGACACTCAGTAAATGACTGTTTAGTAATTTTTATTTCTATAGTCCAGTCAAAATTTATCCACAGCCAAATGGAAAAGGAAATTGTAGATTGAAGTAGCTAAAATATTTTAGTCTGGCTTCTTAGTATAGTATAGCATAGAAACCTATAAAAGCACATTCCTTTCCTTCATACAGTCTCTGTCACAACTACTGATACTCTGTTTTTGTAGTACAAAAGCAGCCCTAGACAGTATGTAAATAAATAAGCATGACTGTGTCCCAATAAAAATTTGTTTATGGACACTGAAATTTGAATTTCATATGATTTGTATGTGTCATAAAATAATTCTTTTGATTAAAAATCTCAAAACTTTTTAGTTCACAGGCTGTGCAAAAAACAGCAGGCTAAATTTGGTCCTTGGGCCCTTGTTTTTCAGACCTCTGAGTTAGATCATTATAATATTGCTTTGTTTTGTAAATATAAAGGACAACATTTAGATCTAATAGCAGAAATTGTTTACCCAACAGGTTCGCTTTTTATCTGATCTTGTGAACTGTCATGTAATAGCTGCCCCGTCAATGGTTGCTATGTTTGAAAATTTTGTAAGTGTAACTCAGGAAGAAGATGTACCTCAGGTAAGAAAACTGCTTATGCTGAATCTTGTCCATATAGTAACAGGAATTTTTTACTAGTAACCCTTTAGTGGGTGCAAACAGTTGAATGCTGGGCTACTAACTAAAAGGTTGGTGGTTCAAACCCACCCAGAGGCACATCAGAAGAAAGGCCTGGCGATCTACTTCCAAAAGGTCACAGCCATGAAAACCCTGTGGAGGACATTTCTACTCTGGGGGTCACTGTGAGTCGGAATCGACTCCACAGCAAATGAGGGGAAAAAAACCCTTTAGTAATAAAAAACAGAAGATAACATTTTTACAGTATAAATTCTTAACATCAAAAGGTATGTCAGCTGGCATACTGTAGATTCTCATGACATCTGTGTGTTCATTCAAATGATTCTGTCAAGTAAGATTAGATTGATATACCTAGAAATGCTCTGAATGAGCCAGGCGTCTTACTTAAGCCCTATTAGCTTCCATAGGATTTCATTCAAGAATGAATAAACTATGAATGAAAGTTGAATAATGCATATTTTTAACTTACCCTTTAAAAAATTCTTTAGGTACGGCAAGATTGGTATGTGTATGCTTTTCTGTCGTCTTTGCCCTGGGTTGGAAAGGAATTATATGAAAAGAAAGATGCAGAGATGGACCGCATCTTTGCCAACACTGAAAGCTATCTGAAGTAAGGGCACAGCTCATAGTATTCTTTATTGTTTAGGTAAAGGATATCCTAATGCAATAATAGATGTGTTAGATTTTATCCATTAGTGATACCATTTGATTTTAATTGCTCAAAAATAAGCTGTAGAGTTACTGAAGGCTTTCTCTAGGTAACCTCATATACCTACTGTTGTAACCCACTGAGACCTCAAAGTAATCAAATGTGTTTGCTTACTTTGCCAGTGCAAAGGAGTTGGTAACATAGCTTCTTTTAAGCTGCTTATGTAGATGTTTGCAAGAGGCATAAAACAAACATCCTGGAAGAATGGTTCTCATGTATTAGTCTGCATAGTCACCTGTGGCTCTGAAGTGTACTCTGACCCCACCACCCCCAGACCTCCTGAATTACACAGTTTGGGAGAGAGGTTTGGATATCTATATGTGGTGCAAATGGTTAATGCGCTTGCCTGCTAACTGAAAGGTTAGAGGTTTGAGTCTACCCAAAGGCACTTTGGAAGAAAGTCCTGACCGTCTGCTTCCAGAAAAGCAGCCACTGAAAACCCTTTGGAGCACAGTTTACTCTGACACACATGGGGTCACCCTAAGTCGGAATTGATGGCAACTTTTTTTTTTTTTTAATAATTAATAATATTCCACAGGTGGAAAACCATTGCCCTAGCACACACAATATATTTATTTCATGAAGTTAATCCCAAACCAAGTCCTTAAAACAGTGGTCTTAACCTCCCATGGCAGCACACAACATGAGTAATATGATACATTTCAATTAAAATAGTCCCGTATCGTCCCATTTCCCACTTCTCCAAAGCCAGTGTAGTAGCTTGTTTTATCTTATTAGATACAATACTAATAATAGGCCTTTTACTAAACATATGCTTAATTACCAAGCAGCATGGTAATGGTTATGTGTCCTATTAATTTTTTTCAGATTAATTTTGTTAAGTTTTATTTTCTGCTTATTAAATGGTACCTCTTTGGATATGGCTAATATCTACATAGTTACAAATAAAGTTAAAAGATGTCTAAAGATAAGAATCTACTGATTATACAGTGTATATAGTATATCATATAAATACAATTATATTAAGCTACCTTTAAATGATAGATTTTTTTCATGTATTTTTATAGTTTTGAAAAGATAAACTGGTTTGAAAAAGATGTTTGCAAGAGAAGATGGAGGAAAAATAAGCTTCCCTTTCACTTCTGGTTCTCATTCTCCAGTACCCCACCCCTGAAGTAACCATTGTGAACATTTCTTTGCTATTTTGCAAAGATAGAATATGAATATATTAACATCTGAGTGTATGACCAGCCCCTTTTTTATATCAATGATAGGCCAGTATACACACTGTTCTGTACTTTGCTTTGTATTCTGTTACTATAACTTGAATTTTGTTGCATGAAAGTACATAGCTCTACCTCATTTTTTTTAATAGCTGTATGATATTCCACTGCTTTAATGTACCATCATTTCTTTAACCAACCCCCTAGTAGTAGATATTTAGATTATTTTCAGTCTTTGGCTATTATAAACACTGTTTTTATAAATATCCTTGTACATATGTGCAAGTATATTTGTGGGAGATGTGAATTCTTAGAAATGGCATTGGAGGGTTGAAGTGTCTGAACAATTTTAATTTTGACAGTCAAATCAGATTGCCTTCCAAAGAGATTATACTCTTCCAGATCTTTTCTAAAGAGTTTATACCAATTAACCATGCTGCCAGCAATGTTTGAGACTGTATATTTCCTCACATTTGACAGTATAGCAAAACTTTTTATATCTGCCAAGTTGACAGGAAAAAACGTTATTTCATTACTGTAATTTGCATTTTATTAATTTTGAAAGCAGCTGAGCATCTCTTCATGTTTTTAAAAGCTTAAACGTACATTGTCACTTTTATCTTTAGAAGACGCCAAAAGACTCATATACCTATGTTACAAGTATGGACTGCTGATAAACCACATCCCCAAGAAGAGGTAAACTGATTTCATTCTCTTATGATACAGGCATAGTCAACTCTTGAATAAATTCTTATCTTTGTAGCATATTCAAATCATTCCATTTGTACGCCTTAGCTAGGTTCCCACATTTCACATCAGTGGTCCAACTCTAATAGCCACATAGTAGGATTTTGATAAGCATTCCCTTGTTCTCTGGATCCAGGTATCATACAATTGGCAGATTTTTTATTTAAATGTCAAATTTGAGAAATATAAGCATAACAGGCCCAAACAAATAGACTTTATAAGGCAATTAAGACAAAAACCTAATACTATTCTGTTGTCCCATATTTAATTGCAAGTTCACTTATTTATGTATTTTAGAAGGAGTGACTTCTGGTTTTGTGTAATCTAAATGTTATTTCTTCTAGCCTCCAAATACGTATTAATTATTAAAAATTAATCTGTCTTCAGTATTTAGATTGCCTGTGGGCCCAGATTCAGAAATTGAAAAAGGATCGCTGGCAGGAACGGCACATCCTAAGACCTTATCTTGCCTTTGACAGCATCCTGTGTGAAGCACTGCAGCACAATCTGCCTCCTTTTACTCCACCTCCTCACACAGAAGATTCGGTGTACCCAATGCCAAGGGTCATCTTTAGAATGTTTGATTACACAGATGACCCTGAGGTACGTGACCAACTAACGGGTCCCGTCAAAGGAGTCGTATTCCTTTGCATTTGTGATTTAATCTTGCTTGAATTGTGCTTGTAATAAATTTTAATTTTGAATTGTTTATTATCTAAGAAGGTTGATGACCGTGAAGTTAATGTTTTAATTCAGCTAATGGTGTCATTTCATAATGTAAGAAATTACATTTAGCATGTGTAAATAGATTAAACATAGAGCGTACTGTGCTGGTTAAGAGTATAGAATTGAGAGCTGGATTGATTTGGGTTTTAATCTTGGCTGTATGATCTTGAGTGAGTTGTTTACCTCTCTGTCCTTTAGTTTCCTAAAGGAATAATGATAGTGTCTACCTCATAAAATGGTGAGGATTAAATTATTAACACACATAAAATGCATAGAATTGAGCCTGACACGTGATGAGTGCTCATTAATTGTTAGCTGTTATTATGATTAAGGTTATCTTTCCAAAAAAGTACTCAGTTTTAGAGATTTTCCCTCTTTCCAGCCATCACATCTTGTCTTAAATTATTCTTTGCATGTTACATAATTATTTAAAAACAGATAATTAAAAAATATTTTTAATTAAACCCCACAGGTTGATATAAAGTGACTATAGTTTTTACATATATGTATTGTTTATTATGAAGTCAAGTAGTTGGCAGCCATTATACTGTAATAGTTAATTAAGAAAATATATAATTTTAATGTTAATATTTGATATAAAAATTCATATTTTAGCTGTGCTTTTATTATTTTATACCTGTGTGCTTGTTTGACTATCTTAATTTTAATAGCTGGGCAGCAAGCATAGTGATTATTGGATTGATTCTGAATAGAAGTTTGCCTGGCTAACTCAAAATTGACATTTTGAACTAGGTAATTGTTTGTCGTCAGGGGCTGTCCTGTGTATTGTAAGGTGATTAGCATCATCCCTGGCTTCTGTCCACTAGGGGCCAGGATCATTTCCCCTCCCCCTCAGTTGTGACAACCAGAAATGTCTCCAGGTTGCCAAAATGTTCTCTGAGAGGCATTTCAGAACCACTGGCATGGAGGTATTGATACAAGAATCTGTATTATCACCTAAGGTCAAATAAGAGTTTTCTTTCTCCTACCTTCTCTTTTTCAGTTCTATGGTACTTTTAATGCTTATGACCAGTGAAAATTCAGTGTATGTGTTATCTATCTCAGAATAAAAGGTTGTCAGATAATTGGTTATATATACAAAATCATCAGCTTATTGCCCATTTTACTATGTTCTGTATGTAATAAAGTACTTTTAGTCAACGTTATGTAACATCCTATTTAGGTATATTTAACTGGAAGTCTAGTTTACCTTTAAGACTGCTGAACTCTTGATTAGGTATTTATTTATAGGGCTAGAATGGGACCTTGGAGTTTGTTTCACCTGTACTATTTATATTTAAGGTTGATGTTGCCCCTGTAATGTGTCCATAAATGAATGGAATATTTTTTGCCCTTAAAATGAAGAGGATTTGTTGTTTCATTCTGGCTTTAAAAAAAAGAAAAATGTTTATTTAAAAAATTTAGAAATTACAGAGAAGAATAAAGGAAAAAAATCACCTGAAAGTCACCATTGAAAAAAATTTAAACAATGTCATGTGGGTAATATTTTGTAACTTTTTTAAAACAATATATAATAGACATCTTTCAGTGATTTTTTATGTCTGTGTTTATGATGGGAATAATTCATTGTCATGGTTAAAATAAATTAAACTGTATAGGGCTGTTAATATACAAGAATTACTTAGTTTGCTTCAAATAATAATTGCTATGTGCAGTGGTAGTATGGTGTGGGATGTAATGGGAAAAACCCTGAAGCTGGCACTCTGATTTTGTTATAGATATAAGTGAACCTCACATTGAAATTTGCTGAAACACAGGACCTTAACTCTTCAGAACTTTTATCCCTAGCACCCAGTATAGTGGTGTTGTTGATGAAACATAATAGGTTCTCAAATATTTGTCAAATTAGTGAAAGAAAATATTTTTTCTAGGTCTGTAAATGTGTACATTTTGCTTTTCTTCCAGGGTCCTGTTATGCCAGGGAGTCATTCAGTGGAAAGATTTGTAATAGAAGAGAATCTTCACTGCATCATTAAGTCTCACTGGAAGGAAAGGAAGACTTGGTAAGATTATTTTCATGGTACTTTCAAAGGAAGGAAAAAGTGGCGATCTTGATGATGTGGTCAGAGCAAAATGATGTATGTAAAGACTGTAAGAAATTCTTCCTCTCCTTCTTGGCTCCCTATCTTGTTGTGACCAATCTCTAAAAACACTTGCTTTACTTTCTTGGGGCTCTTCACCTTCAAATAGTACTTTTCTGGGTGCTTTACAGTAATGTGCATATGATGCAGGCCTTTGTGTGTGGAATTTACCATATACTTATGGGAGAAATTAACTTGAATGGCAAGCTATTTTTGGTTTCAGTGTTATGGGAAAAAAATGAGTATTAATGATGTTGCTCTGTTTTCTAGCATTTATACTCCCAAACTTCAGAAAAAAATATTTTTAATAATATTTTCTAAGACCTGGGAAATTTTTGGTTTAGATTTTTACAGTGTGTATAGTATTTTGGGAGTGGTCCATCCTGTTAAAACTTTATTTAAAGTTAGTAGCTCTGAATACATTTCTCTAGTATTATCACTTAGACTGCTTTGATCTTTCGAGGAATTTTGGATGCATTAAAGAAGATTTTCCTTGTAGAACACAAAATAGTTTGTGCCATAATTAAGTGAAGTAACTGAAATATAGAACATTTCAAAAGAGATTTCTTTATATCTAAACACACTGCTTTTGAAACTGTTTGATTTTTCATGTATTTTTGTGTACTTATTAAACTTAAATTACACTTTTTGTAGTGCTGCACAGCTAGTGAGCTATCCGGGGAAGAACAAGATCCCCTTGAACTACCACATAGTTGAGGTACGCATTCCACATAGAGCATGTTTCTAAGTTTCAGAATCTATCCGTTGGTTTTAAAGTGCAATCTTCTCCTGGCTTATTTTTATTTTTTTCTTGCTACTTGTCAGGCACTGAAAATTAACAGAGGAGCAAGGAAATTGTTGTCAGATTTGGTGCTCTGTTAGCCATGTTAGTAAAGAGGAAAGAGGAGGTTGAGACCAGTAGCCAAAATGGAATTTTGAGTTGCCTATGTGTTATTTATATAGTATGCCTTCATTCATGGATAGTTATCGTGGATAATGTAAGTTACCTCTAGCTCTGTCAACACATTGTCCACATGACAAATGTATAAGTGGCTTAAATATTTTTAAAAACTGTATACTTTATAGGCAGATAACCTATCTTTAAGTGTGTTCATCTGACATGTTAGTACTAGCATACTCCTAAGTATCTTATTCCCTGTATCACAGGTTAGGAAAAGTATGAATCCATATTTATTCTTAGATAGCGAAAGAGCCAAGCAGTTTGCAAGTAGGAAGAGTAGAAATGCTTTTGACCTCATATTAACTCATACAACAGAATGATATTAATGGTATACTTGAACACCATGTAGAGATTTATGTCCCCAAAAACAGGTTTTTCACTTGACACTCACGGGGATATAATTTGTCAAACTGTTATAAAAGTATTCGTGAGAGAGAGGACACAGTTGTAATGTGTTGTTTTAAGATTCACTTTTTGTTCATACTGCATTTGTGTGCTTTTTTAAAAAGTACTGCATATGTCCTATCTTTACAAAACTTGAGAATATGCTTAGGCTGTGAATTTGACTCATTGACATGTCAATAGAAGTGCAAAATGTAAGTCATTTTTTAATCTGCAAAATATATAGAGATTCATCAGATTGAAATGTAGGAGTGTAGGGAGTGAGAAGAAGAAATGCAGACCAGGGCTCTAGAATTCTGGATAGGCACTCCACGTGTTATATAGGGAGGGTGGAAAGCAGAAGTTTCTGAACAAGTGACATGGCAAAGCAGTCTTGGACTCCCAAAAGGATTTCTAGGCAACTATTCTAAAGTTCTGTGTAGCAGTGTGGAATGTGTTGACAGTCTTCTGTTTCCCATCCTCAGAGTCTAACAGAGGTTCTTAACTGCTCAGAGGAATGAAACTTTGATGGATCTGTTGAGTCCCTCACTAAACTGTACCTCCCTGAATCAACTTTCTCCATACTGAGTATTACTTCTACTCTGTTTGCCTTCTGAAACAGTTTGATCAGCAAGACATTTGTCTTTTTAAGAATTTCTAAGTTGATTTTTTTTCTTACTGGCCTCTCCAAAATAATCCATTAATAACAAACATTTTCTAGTTCATTTTCAATATGAAATGATGCCATACTTCCAAAGTTGGAATTCAGCTGTGCGGTTCTCTGCGAGTATGAGTCAAATGAGCATTGATCTTGCATGCTATTGAGTTATAGAAAGAAGAAAATTTCATTACATTGACTTTTGTGTTTGAAAGAGCATAATTTTAAGGATTAAAAAGGAGGGTTTTTTTCTTTTTTTCGTTTGAATGTCAGGACGTTAGAGTTTAGATTTAACATGTTGAGGTGTTCTAACAACAGCAATGCATAGAAAGCTGTTGAGTTGAATTCTGACTCATGATTCTTTTCTAGGTGATCTTTGCAGAGCTGTTTCAGCTTCCAGCACCCCCTCACATTGATGTGATGTACACAACACTTCTCATTGAACTGTGCAAACTTCAGCCTGGCTCTCTGCCCCAAGTTGTATCCTTTCCTTTGTTTTTAAACTTACTCTCTTTGGCTGTTGGCTTTAAAAGATTAACTTAAACATTTCTGCTTCTAGGTTTACATTTTTTAGATTCAAAAACAGCTTTTGAAATATATGTATATATATAAACATGGTGTATGTCTATAAACGTATGTGTCTGTAAATAGTTCACTATTTTGATCAAGAACTTCAAGAAAATACTGTGAAGAAAGCTTGATGTTTTCAATTTTTAAAAGAAGAAAAAAATATTAAATTCTCTAAACTAACATAATCGTCTTTCTTAGATCTCTAGGAAGTTAGTCATTTGATTGGAGGAAAAGGCCAAATGACCCCTTGTAAAACTAGTATTCTACCACTAATTTAAAAAATAAATGGGTGTCTCAGGAGCATGGGAAAACTTTTGAGGATAATGAAAATATTCATTATTTTAATTTCACAGGTGTATACAGGTCAAATTTATTGTACATCATTGATTCCTGAAAGCTGTGAAAAAAAAAAAAAAAAGATCAGTTACATAAAAAGATGCTCCACATTATTGGTCATTATGTAGGCATTTTAGGAAACATTATTGTTTTTTTTTCTGTCACAACTTTAGGGGAAGGTGGAGAATAGTTTTCCTTAACTTCAGTTTCGCAGCTTGCACAGGCGACTGAAATGTTATACATGCGTTTGGACACGATGAATACTACTTGTGTAGACAGGTACAGTGATTGCTTCACTTCCAGACTGAGTATTCAACTCTCTTTACCTTCTAAAACAGTTTGATCAGCAAGACATTTGTCTTTTTAAGAATTTCCAAGTTGATTTTTTTCTTACTGGCCTGTCCAAAATAATCCATTAATAACAAACTTAAACATTTTCTAGTTCATTTTCAATATGAAACGATGCCCATGCTGGATTTCCTTTAATTTCAGTCATTGTTTAGGTGTTTGGTGCTTTGGTGTAATTTTCTTTTTATATAAATTTATGTATGTATTTTTGTTTGTGTATCGATAGTACCTGATTTTAAAACAATTAATTTCAACATTAAAAGTCTTTTCAAACTGACAGCTTCAAGACTGTCAGTTTATACAAAAAGAACACATTGGCTTTTTATAGCTGTGGTAATTGGATGCCTAATTGACCTCACCTTTTGGGAGAGTTCTGTGTGGCCACCTTTACTACCTGGTGTTCTTTCTTACCTCTGTCTGTTTCCCAAATTGGATCAGGACAGATATTGAACATTTCTTCAGTTTCCATGATCTTTCATGTTCATTGTTCAAATTCCATATCTGAAAATAATCAGTAAGGGCTATCCTGTGTCCCTGACTTATTTCAATTAATTGAAATTAAAAATACATGTTGTTGTTGTTAGGTGCCGTCTAGTCAGTTCTGACTAATAGGACCCTGTGTACAATGGAACAAAACACTGCCTGGTCCTGCGCCATCCTCACAGTTGTTGTACTTAAGCCCATTGTTGCAGCCACTGTGTCAGTCCATCTCATCGAGGGTCTTCTTTTTCGCTAACCCTTGACTTTACCGAGCATGACGTTCTTCTCCAGGGACTGATCCCTGCTGATAATATGTCCGAAGTACGTGAGATGAAGTCTTGCCGTCCTTGCTTCTGAGGAGCATTCTGACTATACTTCTTCCATTAGGAAAGTGTCTTCTGTGATTTTTTTCCCCCCCTCTAATTAATAAAACAGCCAGTTGTATTGAGCATTCCCATCATTCCATTCATTCAGCTAATGCTTGTTGGGCTCTTAGAAACTTCACAGCATTATACAGTGTACAAAATGTTCCCTATCTAGTTAGAGAGATCAGATGTATTTTTAGGGGGAAAAGTGGCTTTGATGGTATGTTCTGTTGTTTGTAGTGAAAAGGGCATGGTGTAATTATGAGAGCCTATAATCTGGCTCTGAAGGAGCCCTGGTGACGCAGTGGTTAAAGCGCTTGGATGCTAACTGAAAGATCAGCAGTTCGAACCCACCAACCCCTCTGTGGGAGAAAGATGTGGCAGTCTGCTTGCATAAAGATGTACAGCCTTGGAAACCCTATGGGACATTGCTATGTCCTGTAGGGTCGCTATGAGTCAGAATTGATGGCAGTGAGTTTCGGTTTTTATACTATGACTCTGCCATTTATAAGATGTTTTATCTGCAGTTTCTTTCTTCTTTCCTTTCTTCTCTCCCTCCTTCCCTCCCTCCCTCAGTTTCATTGTTTATTACTATGGGGGAAATAATACAATCCTTGGAAGTTGAAAATTAAATTATATAAACATATATAAGGTGCCTGGCACAAAACAGGCATTCACATGGTTTCTGTTATTTGCTTAGAAATGATAATACTATTAGAAGGAGTGAGATAGGGGACTGTTTTACTTTATTGTTGTGCTTTAAGTGAAAGTTTACAATTCAAGGTAGTCTCTCATTCAGAAATTTATACATAACATTATTATGTGACCCTAATTGCTCTCCCTATACTGTGACAGCAAATTCTTCCTTTCCACCGCTGATTTCCCGTGTGTATTCAACCAGCTCCTGACCCTCTCTGCCGTCTCATCTCACCTCCGGACAGGAGCTGCCCATTTAGTCTCATGTATCTACTTTGAGCTAAGAAGCACACGCTTCATGAGTACCATTTTATGTCCCATAGTACAGTCTAATTTTTGACTGAAGAATTGGCCTCGGGAATAGTTTTAGTGCTGGGTTGATAGTCCAGGGGCCATGCTTTCTGGGGTAACTCCAGGCTCAGACCATTAAGTCTGGTCTTTTTACTAGAATTTTAGTTCTGCACCCTACTCTTCTCCTGCTCCAACAGGGACTCTCTGTTGTGTTCCCTGTCGGGGGTCATTGGTGGTAGCCAGGTACCATCTAGTTCTTCTGGTCTCAGGCTGATGCAGTCTCCAGTTTATGTGGCCCTTTCTGTCTTTTGGGCTAATTTTTTCCTTTGTGACTTTGGTGTTCTTCATTCTCCTTTACTCCAGGTGGGTTGGGACCAATTGATGCAAGTTAGATGGCTGCTCACTAGCTTTTAAGACCCCACACGCCACTCACCAAGTAGGATGCAGAACATTTTCTTAATAAACTTTGTTATGCCAGTTGACCTAGATATAGGGGACTATTTTTTAAAGAAAAAGATGAGTTACAGGTTTTGCACAGTAAGGTAAGTGGGAGGGGAAGGTATACATATGTGTGTGTAGGGGGGGTGCTCTTTATATAAAATAGGTTTTTTTTTAATCTGTTTGAAGGAATATTTAAGTTCCTCTTATAAACTGCAACCATTTATCCTCTTCTGCCTCCCCCCCACTCCCTTTCCACATAGGTTTATTAATTGGTTTTCCCATCATCTAAGTAACTTCCAGTTCCGTTGGAGCTGGGAAGATTGGTAAGTGGTATTGTATTTTGTTTTATTCTGCCCTTTCCTGGAGTCTACCATAACAAACTGTTATTATTTAAAACTATAACATAGAAGCAGTCTTCCTCACTGTCTGAGGTACTTAATTTCTTTGATATTTTATTTACTGTGTATGAATGTAATAATTAAGGTAGAAGGAAACTGTTTGTAGTTAAGTACAAGATAGATGTAAGCGCAGATTGTGTGTAAGAATTAATAAAATTACATTTCCTCTTTAGGTCAGATTGTCTTACTCAAGATCCTGAAAGTCCCAAACCAAAATTTGTAAGAGAAGTACTGGAAAAATGTATGAGGTAAGTTCTTTGTCTTTTCTCCTTAGTTTAGGTCTCGTAATTGTAGGGGATTGTTTCTTTTCTATGTGTTTGTGATATGTGTCCAGAATGTCATTTTTAAAACCCAAGTATTTGCTTCTTTGACATTTTAGTTTTTAACAAAATTTAGACTGAAAAAATTAGGCAACCGTGGCCATCTGGATTCTATGTGATTCGAGCCAATAAGTTTTTTTGAACATTATACTTTGAAATACTGTCAAATTTACAGAATAGTACAAAGAACTCCATATCCTGTTTACCTAGATTCCCTTGTTAAGATTTTACCACATTTGTTCTAACACTCACTCCTTTTCCCCTCTCTATTATGCTTATTATACTGGTCTCTTTCTGAACCTTTGGAGAACAAGCTGCAGACACAATATCCCATCATCCTTTAACATTCCATTCTGTATTTCTCCAAAACAAGGACACACTTCTGTATAACCAATATAAAGCCCTCCAAATCAGGGAATCAGCTTTGCCACTATACTACCATACAGTCCACAGATGGTGCTGATATTTTGCCAACTGCCTCAGCAGTCTTTTTCCTTTCTGGTCCAAAATCCTACCCAGGAATATGTGTTGTATTTAATTGTCATTCTCTTCAGATGCCTTCAGTCTCGAACAATTGCTATTCTTTCTCTGTCTTTCATGTCCTTATCAGTTTTAGAGTATAGACCTTACTTTCTTGAGTGGCTCTGATATTTCCTTATGAACAGACTCAGGTCCTGCACTGTTGGTGGTCTTCTCAATGCATCGTATCAGGAGACACATGAATCCCACCATGGTGATTTTAACCATGATCACCTGGTCATGTCATTGTCTGCCAGGTTTCTCCACCTTAAATTCACCATTTTTCCCTTTGTAATTGATAAGTGTTTTGTGGGAGGTGTCCTGAGGTTACATTAGTATCCTATTCTTCATCAAACCTTCACCCGCTAGCCTTAGCCTCCACAACCCCCACTTTTATTAGCCATCACTGAGATAATTGCCAAGTGGGGATTCTGTTTTTCCATCCATCTATATTTACTAATTGACACTCGACAATAAGAAATACTTTCCTTTTCCCCCATTTATTTATTCCTTTGTTTATATACCATATTCATTACTGTAATTATTTTGATGCCTGTTTGTCCTTGATTTGCCTAGCAAGAGACCCTGTAAGCTGGCTGCTGTGTCTTTTTTTTTTTTTTTTAAACATCCTCCACCATTCATTAAGTATTTCCTCATTTTCTGGCACAGATTTTCCAGGTTCGTCTTGTGTTTCCTCGCCCCTGCCCTGGCATCATCTATTTCTTCAAGGAGCCCTAGTTCCTAGTAGTAGAGTATGGTATTTAGAAACCAATCTGGGCATTAGATGTGCTTGTTGTTATTGGGGTGTTATTGATTCTAGGCCCATTTGGTTGACTGAGCTAGGGAATATATATTCATGTACAGTCCCTGGATTATGAACTCTGACTTACACGCAACCTATAGTTATGAACCAACCCCCGTGAAGCCTATTACATTAAAAATACAACAGGCACTACTTTGCGATGCACATCAAAACATTATTATTATTTTTTTTATTATGTTAAAGATGTTTTAGTGTATCTAGAAGTGTTTCTTTAATGTTTTTTATGCATAGGAAGGTACACTAGATACTATATACTAAGACAAACTTTTGACTGACCTTAGACATGAACCATACCTAACTGTTCTAACTTATGTACAAATTCGACTTAAAGGCAGACTTGGGAACAGAACTCATTCATAATCCAGGAACTGCCTATATATACACGTACACACCCACACCCACATACGTACCTGTAACCATTTTTATATCCACCTATATATATGTGTGTGTATACATTTAAATATAAAACTATGAGTTCACCCCAATCCCTCCAATTCTAACCCAAAATCTCGTTCTTTCTAGCCTTCCCCTTGCAATGATTGTAAATACCTTCTCAGCCAGAATGAAACTCTGCTCTGGTTATCCTCAGTATTATTTAGTACATTGTAACCAGTTTCCCAGCCATGCAATCTCCTCCACCCCACTCCGCTTGCATCACCCTGTGTTCTAGGCCCACAAGCTTGCTAGTCCGCAGTGCTTTGTTGCTCCCCAAGCCCCCACCATCAACACCCCTCATTCCTTGGCCACCAGGCTGGTGGGCCCACTGGCTCACATCTTAGTGCAAGCCAGTAAGTTTTGATGTAAGCCTAAGCTTTTGTGTGCTGGCTTAGACAAAGCTTATAGGACTTTTTTCTCCCTTACACTTCTTGGTTGTCCGCTGAGTTCTGGATGTTGGAGATTTTACCTATCCAGATAAGCAGAGTGTTACTGACGAGTGGAACTGATGAAAGATACTTTCTGAGGTGGTTATTTGTATTGTAGGTTGTCTTACCATCAGCGTATAATAGATATCGTTCCTCCTACCTTCTCAGCTCTATGTCCTGCAAACCCAACCTGCATTTACAAGTATGGAGATGAAAGTAGCAGTAAGTAATAAAATGAAATAAAACCCTCTGTCTTTAAAAAGTACCAATGCAAGTCTCCTCTGAAGTAATTTACTTAAGGTGGAGAAATTGAACTTTCTTTTCCTGGGGTTTATATTTTCTCTTTCTAAAAGGTGGCCTGTCACTGGCGGCTTTTGATTTGTTTGCCCTGTGATCGTTCTGAGGATTTTATTGTGATCTAATTAATTATTACTGGCTTGTTTTTTTTTTTTTCAGTTGTTTACAGTGTTATATTCATGACATTATTTTAAATATGCTGCTAAGTATAGCAAGATGAACTTACTAAAATGAAAGATTTTTTTTATGACGATGGAGATTACTTGAACTGCTTATCTTCTGACATCAGGTCTGGTGTGGTGTGGGAGCGCAGGTGCACATAGACTGTTTCGACAGGTGGTCTGCCTCTAGAAGTAAATTCTTAAACAGAGTTTTTCTTACTTTTTGGCCACATCATCTCTGAGATTGCACTATAAATCAGAGGGACAATAACTTGATAAGCTGTTTTCTACTTTGCACAGTATTTACACTTCATGAAGTAAGGTGTGTTGTACACTGATAGTCACTATAGAGAGTTAGGTGTGGAGTTTTTTCAAGTTGGTCTTTTCAGATGGCACTGAATGCAGCTCCTCCACAGACCTTCTGTTTGGTGCTGTATAGCAATTCTTTCTTCAGATCTCTCCTCTCCACTGGTATCTCAGACTTTATCCTAGTTCTCCACCTATTTCTCTGACTACATCTGTCTTCCTTAAAATAAACTCTGTTGGTCCCAATGCTGAGCACATATCCTATGTTATTATGTCACTTAATCCTTAAAACAGCTTTGAAAAATAGGTATGATTATGCCTAATTTACAATGAGGGAAGTGACTGCAGAGAGGTGAAGCCAGAGTGAGATTGCTCCTGAGCAGTAGAGCCCAGATTCAACTCCATACTCACAAACTGAGAAGCCCACACCTGAAAGAGCAAAGCTTGATGGCGCACTTACAAGCACCGAGCCCTGAATTTTGCCGTAATGGTTCAGAGAATTGTAAGGAACAGTCTCATGTGAAAGAGCTGAGGCTGTTGTTGATTGATCTGTCTTGTTTACCCCAGGAACAACTCAGCCTGACTTTCAAGGCCCTCCTAACAGTTGTTCCTATTTTGTTATTTTTTTATTTTTTCTAAATGAACCTCAAGTCCAGCCAGGCCCCCCTCCTCTTTTATTTTTTGCATACACCTTTTTCTTGGCTGTGCCTCTGTACTGTAACTCCAATCTGGAATATCCTTTCTATTTCCAATTCCTGCATTCTGTTTAGTGCCCAGCCCAAGCGACACTCCTGTAAATATGTTTTAACCTTTAGCAAGCCAGTGTTGTATTGCTCTCTGGCTACTTCTGTGAATATTTTGACTCCCCAGCTAAAATCTAGACTCCTCAGTGGTGGGGGGTTCTTCTTTCTTCACTTATTTTCTCTCCCACTTTCAGGAGAAAGCACACAGCATTTGTTTCATGATTGTCCTAAGGGACCTGTTGTGATTGGCTTTATTTATTCCAGGTGCTTAGTAACTCATCGTCTGTGTCAGGACTGCCTTTTTATTTGTTGCTTCTTTTGTCTACCTTACATTTAATGTGGATTTCCTCTAGCCCTGGTAATACCTTACACTATAGACCAGCACAGATCTTATCCAACAGACATTGACTAATAGTAAACATGTGGAGTCACATCACATGAGCATCTATATAGACTCAGCAAAAAAAAAACGAAAAAGTCTCTTAAGTTGGCACCCTTCACCTTGTTCAGACTCAAACTTAGTTTCCGCCATCTCAGGGATGAGAAGGAGGAAAGGGGCCTTGGCAAAAATAAAAGGGACATACATTGATTCTTAGCTTTTGAGCTTACACAGGCCTAGGACATCTGAGGCTGTTAAGGAGCAGTTCTAATCCATCTGATATCAGCAACGATATCCCTTGTTCCACATCCTCTTCAGAATCCAGCTTGAATTTCTGGCAGTTTCCTGTTGGTGTACTGCTCGACCATATTTGAGTTATCTTCAGCAAAAATTACTTGTGTGTTTCTGCATTCTGTTGGATCACCTTTCTTTGGGATGGGTACAAATATGGATCTCTTCCAGTCAGTTGGCCAGGTAGCTGTCGCCCAAATTTCTTAGCAGAGACAAGTGATCACTTCCAGCTGCATCTGTTTGTTGAAACATCTCAGTTGGTATTCCGTCAATTCCTGGAGCCTTGTTTTTCGCCAGTGCCTTCAGTGCAGCTTGGACTTCTTCCTTCAGTACCATCAGTTCTTAATCATATGCTACCTCTTGAAATCGTTAGTATTAACCAGTTCTTTTTGGTACAGTGACTCTGAGTATTCTTTCCATCTGTTTTTGATGCTTGCTGTTTCGTTCAGTATTTTGCCCATAGAATCCTTCAGTATTGCAACTTGAGGCTTGAATTTTTTCTTCAGTTCTTTCAGCTTGAAAAATACTGAGCATGTTCTTCTGTTTTGGTTTTCTAACTTCAGGTTTTGCACGTTTCATTATAATACTTTACTTTGTCTTCTTGAGACGCCCTTTGAAATCTTCTGTTCAGCTCTTTTACTTCATCATTTCTTCCATTTGCTTTAGCTACTCTGCGTTCAAGAGCAAGTTTCAGAGTCTCTTCTGACATCCATTTTGGTCTTTCCTTTCCTGTCTTTTTAGTCATCTTTTGCTTTTTTCATATATAATATGTCATCCCACAACTCATCTGGTCTTTGGTCATTAGTGTTCAGTATGTCACCTCTATTCTTGAGATGGTCTCTAAGGATTTCATTTTACTTGGATCTATAATCAACACCCATGGAAGCAGCAGTCAAGAAGTCAAACAGTGTGTTGCATTGGGCAAGTCTGCTGCAAGAGACCTCTTTCAACTGTTAAAAAAGCAAAGATGTTATTTTGAGGAGTAAGGTGCGCCTGACCCAAGCCATGGTATTTTCAGTTAGCTCATACACATGTGGAAGCTGGACAGTGAATAAGGAAGACCAAAGAAGGAGTGATGCATTTGAATTATGGTGTTAGTGAAGAGTATTGAATATACTATAGACTGCCAGAAAAACGAACAAAGAAGTATAACCAGAGTGTTGCTTAAAAGCGAAGATGGCGAGATTCGTCTCATACTTTAGACACGTTGTCAGGAGGGACCAGTCCCTGGAGAAGGACGTCATGCTTGGTAAAGTAGAGGGTCAGTAAAAAATAGGAAGACCCTTAATGAGATGGATTGACACAGTGACTGCAACCATGGGCTCAAACATAGCAATTATTGTGAGGATGGCACAGGACCAGGCAGAGTTTCAAGTTTCTTAGTTATTTCACTGTTTGTTAAAATAATTTTTAAATCTTATATCCCTTGCTCCTCCCTCCACTTCTGTGTTTAGATTCTCTTCCTGGACATTCTGTTGCCCTCTGTTTGTCTGTTGCCTTTAAAAGTAAGGCAACCAATGATGAAATCTTCAGCATTCTGAAGGATGTACCAAATCCCAACCAAGATGATGATGACGGTAAGAGAATTAGATATGTCTTGAGTGGAACTACGTCTAGGCCCAGTAAAAGCATAAACATAACTGGCAACGTGAGTTCTGCTTAAATCCCATTGGGTGCTCATAAAACAATATATTCGTTTGGCCTGTTCAGCTAATCAGTTGTACCTAGAATCCAGGTATTTCCTCCCTTATGTAAAAGGAGACCCAATCATCCCTATAAAGTAGCTTACATTAAGAATATAAACTGCAACCTGAATATATAGGAAAATATACCTCTATCATTCAACAATTTTTAAACATTCCCTGCTTTCACTGTAAAGAGGCTCCTGAATGGGAAGACTTGGTGTATTATTATAAAGTTGTGTGTTTTCTCCAAATTAAGCTATTGTAATAATATTTAACATTTACTGAGTGTGTACCATGTAATTCAAACCAAAATCCTAGTTGTTGTTTTTGTTTTTTTCTGGGGAAGGTGGACAGATTGACAAAACAATTAAGTTTATCTGAATCAATAAATGGGTGAGAAAAAAAGTGATGAGAGAGGTACTTGCCTTATCACATATTAAAGCATACTGTGCAAACTACAGTATCTAAAGCAGTGTGGTACTGGCACAAAGAAGAGACAAATCAGTGGAACAGACGAAAAGTCTACTGGGATAACTGGGTAACCACTTGAGGAAAAAAAAATTTTTGTGTGTGTGTGTGTAAGGACGTGCATAGAAAATGACTCTTAGAATCAAAATAAAACAATAATGGTCTCTGGGTGTTTTACTGGGAATTTGTTTGGATTTCTCTAAGAAACTTGGATTATAATATTAGAGAGAAAATATATTTAGAGAGCACAAATCAAAACATGATAGTTTTAAAGGTCTTTGGTATTCTCAAACATCTCAGGGCATAGACTTAAGTGTTGAGGGTTTACTGTATTTTATTTACGTTATCTTTCCACCATATAAACAGAATATGAACAAGGAAATCTACGTGGTATTTTAACAGAAATGGATCATATAGAAGAATTAGGAAAACAATCACAAAGAACTAAAAATTCAAATTATTCTTAGTTTTAGATTTTGAGTATTTGAAATCAGTGATGGTCTTTTATTGTCTATTAGTACTTAATAGAAGTTCCGCAAATGTTGACTTAGTATTTTGATATGAACAGGCTATCTGTTTAGTGTACCAGATGAGGTACCAAGGAACTGCTATACTTATATTTTTCTGTCTTACTGTGGATTACTTTTCAGATGAAGGATTCAGTTTTAACCCATTGAAAATAGAAGTCTTTGTACAGACTCTGCTACACTTGGCAGCCAAATCATTCAGCCACTCTTTCAGTGCTCTTGCAAAGTAAGTACAAGAACACAGCCTTTCTTTAGGGTTTGGGACTTTGCTTGCTGAATACCAATGGTATAGTAACTTTTACGAAAATAGTTGAATATGATCTTGATAGTACACTATTGTCATATGATTTGATACATTGGGTTTTGGTTTGTAGTGACTAAAATCCCTATTCCATGGCTTTTATCAGTCTGTATGTGTTTGCATATATGCATGGACTGTGCGTTTTTTCACATAGACCTTGAGAGAAATTAGTGAAAAACCTAGGTGCTTAGGATAATCATATATGCAGTCAGAAGTTCTCATCCTGTCGAAGCGTCTTCCTCAAGGGAAGTAAGAAATGAGAATAGACTACATTTTTGGGAGCCACCTAAAGGTTGGCATCTAAAGACAGAGCTTCCTCACTTGTCAAACAGACTTCAAAAGGTGAATGTATATATTCTCCCAGCCAAACAGAGAAACTCTCCGTATCATTTCCCAATGCAGCATACTGCTTGCAGGGTTCCACAGAATGTGCAGTCGGAATACGTCACCTGTACTTGGGAATGGTTCCTGACCCCTTATCTATTAGATACACAGTAAACTTTAGTCCTTGGCTAACAATACCTACTGCCATTGAGTCGATTCCAACTCATAGCGACCCTATAAGACAGAGTAGAAGTACCCCATAAGGTTTCCAAACCTGTAATCTTTATGGAAGCAGACTGCCACATCTTTCTCTCGCGGAGCAGCTGGTGGGTTTGAACCGCTGACTTTTTGGTTAGCAGTCAAGGGCTTAATCACTGTGCCACAAGGGCTCCTTGGGCTAACAATAGTATAATATAACTCTCTTAAGCCTTAATAACAGATTTCATAAAAACTGTGAATTCCTAATCATGCCTTTTACATCCTTAATGATTATATTTTGTTTTGCATTTCTGTTTAAAAAGGCTTTGAAAACATTAAAATGTCCATTGAATTAGTATGTATGTGATTTTCTTCCCCCTGTTACTAAAAGGTTTCATGAAGTCTTCAAAACCCTAGCTGAAAGTGATGAAGGGAAGTTACATGTCCTAAGAGTTATGTTTGAGGTCTGGCGGAACCATCCACAGGTAAAAACAATTATTGTATGACTAATGAAATAAGCCAATTAAAGGACAAGTGCTGTGATTAGACTTTGGACTATAACACCTCAACATATTTTAAATGTTTAGAATGCTTGTTGCTTGTAAGATTCTACCAGTTGGATAGGAAGTGGTTACCTAGTCTAATCAATTTCTACAAACAAGCTTCAGATTTCTCAAACCTCAATATATTATTTTCATATTATAAAAAAACCCATTGTCATGGGGTTGATTCCAACTCATAGCGACTCTATAGGACAGAGTAGACCTACCCTATAGGGTTTCCAAGGAGGTTGGTGGATTCAAACTGCTGACCTTTTGGTTAGCAGCCGAGCTCTTTACCACTGCGCCACCAGGGCTCCTCCTATTATAAAGAGGCATTGAAATAAATTTCAGAAGGTATTTAAGACTACTTTATGATAAAACATTCTTGTATTTTTAACTTTTGGGACTCAGTGGAAATTGCATATATTTTTTGTATAGGTATTATCTAAAATAAAAAACAATTAAGTGTTGCCTGTAGAGATTTTCTTTTTGTTCAGTCAGTCTTTATTGGTACTGTAGTATCTCTTACGTTACCAAAGACAAGTATAGGGAAGAATAAATCTTAAGCCCTGATGGTCAAATTGATTCCATAGCCACTGAAAATGAATTTTATAGTCCTCATATTTTACTTTTGTAGCAGTGGTAGTATTTTGACCGGCATGTAACTGCGATTTACCCTAATAATGCTTCTGTGGTTGTAGATGATTGCTGTACTGGTGGATAAGATGATTCGTACGCAGATTGTTGACTGTGCTGCGGTAGCAAATTGGATCTTCTCTTCAGAACTGTCTCGTGACTTTACTAGGTAATATGGATTCTAAGAATTGATTCATGTGTAGTCTCTTAATACAAGAGCTTCAAATTCTAGTCCACACCAGGTTTATATTAAATACTAATGGTCCAGTCTGGTAGGATTGGTAAAGATTCCTAGACAGTAGAAGTATACACAGGCAGTCAAGTTGCAGTGTCTCTCAGGGACACACACGTAATTTGAGTCAGGACCCACCCACCCAGTCAGGTAGAAATGCTGATGAAGGATTCAGAATATTGAGGGGAAGAGACCAGCAGGAGGCAGGCTGTGTGTCAGAGCCTGAGCCAGACCAAGTGGAGATTCACATAAGGGTTCCAACTCTAGTGGGAACCTGAAATGCACACCAAGAGCTAGGAGACAGACTAAAGTTGTGATCAGTTAGGTCACATCATGGAGGAATCGAGAAAAGCTTGGTGGGCCTCCCCTCAGTCATAAAAATCCTAGATTTAGTGCAGAAGATGTATTTAGACCTAAGGGAAAGAGATTTTTCACCAAGTTGGTTCTTATTGGTGAAGTTGGGTCCACAAGCTTTATAGTCCTGATGGGCACCAGACAGGAAGCAAAAAAGCAAGTTACTTGCAAAGACATAAAAAACCATCACAACTTCTGACTTCTCCGCTGTATGTGTTACTGCCAGAGGGCACTGGTCTGAAAGGTCTCCTTAGGGTGAAACTGTGTGTCCAGCCAAGTGGGCATTCACGAATGAAAGCAACACAAAGATACTCTCAGATCTTTGCCACCTCTCAGAAAACAGACCACCAAAGTGTGTGTTAGTCATTATTCTGAGGGATTTATATTTTCAACTCATTTAATCCTTACAATAACATGGTAGGGTGCTTTCCATTATTGTCCTCATTTTACAGAATAGGAAAATACCCACGTACTTAGTTAGCTTGTTAAGAGTCACAAGTAAGTGGCAGAACTCTGATTCAAACCCAGGCATTCTTAAATACAAACATTGCTCAAGATCTCTCCATTCTTTAACACCTGGCTCAATTATTTCCAGCTTTGTAAAGCCTTCCCTGATCACCCTGTCCAGAGTTAAAAGTGCTCGACTCTTGTGTTCTGTCTGCTAGCATTCTAGACTTCGAGTTTTTTAAACATGTTGTCTTATCTTCCATTTAAAATTGTCTCATTCAGGTCAAAATTTGTAGAAGAAAGTATTCTGAGTATTCTGGAGTTGGGAGACTTGGTTTGTCGATACAAAAGTAACTAAGAAGCTACTTTAAAAAATAGAACATTCATGCAGTAAACATTTTAAAGCACATACATGGTGATCCTGATACTTGAGCAGTTTGATTTTTAAGATAGGTGACATAAATATTTATTTCATTATTTTTTTTTTATTGTGCTTTAAAGTGAAAGTTTATAGTTCAAGTCAGTTTCTCATACAAAAATTTATACACACATTGCTATGTGACCCTAGCTGCTCTCCCTATAATGTGACATTACACTCGTCCTTTCCACCCCGGATTTCCCATGTCCATTCAACCAGCTCCTGTCCCTTTTTGCCTTCTCATCTCAGCTCCGGACAGGAGCTGCCCATTTAGTCTCAAGTATCTATTTGAGCTAAGAAGCACTCTCTTCAAGAGTATCATTTTATGTCCCATTGTCCAGTCTAATCTTTGTCTGAAGAGTTGGCTTTAGGAATGGTTTCAATTCTGGGCTAACAGAGTCCGGGGGGCCATGTCTTCCAGAGTCCGTCTACTCTCAGACCCTTAAGTCTGGTCTTTTCACTAGAATTTGAGTTCTGCACCCCACTTTTCTCCTGCTCTGTCAGGGACTCTCTTGTGTTCCCTGTCAGGGCAGTCATTGGTGGTAGCCGGGCACCATCTAGTTCTTCTGGTCTCAGGATATTTGTTTCATTCTTAACACACATCAGTTGATAGCTGTCAACTCATGCCTTTCTTAAATGTTCCAAGAGAATTGGCTGAGTGTGTGCTAGTCCAATTCTATAAAGCAAGTTAAATAGCCTCAGGTTAGTGGTTACTATTTTGAGAAAATTCAGACACTTTAATGTTTAAATTTAGGAGAAAATGTGTTTTTGTTCCTAATGTTAGCATTTGCCATTTCAATAAATACATACATACACCTTCTATGTATATTTAGTAGGGGATATAAATAATAAGAAAAATTGAGAGGACAGAGTAATGCCCTCAGTGAGCTCACATGAGTCTAATGGGTAGCGAGAGATGTTTGCACATTTGACAAGGCAAATCATAAGTATTGCTGGAAAAATATACTAATTTTGCCCAAAGGGTTGAAGGCTGTTTTAGAACTTAAGAATAAATTATAAAAGTTAAGAGGATTTATTATCTATAAGCATAGCTAACTTTAACATACAATAACCAAATGCCATATTACTTTAAGATTGTTTGTTTGGGAAATCTTGCACTCCACGATTCGTAAGATGAGCAAACATGTTCTGAAGATCCAGAAAGAGCTAGAAGAAGCTAAAGAAAAACTTGCAAGGCAACACAAACGGGTAAGTCTTGTTTTGACTTTTTACTGTTTAAAGAAGGTATGCCAGAAACTCTTGAGAATAATCAAAGTCCATCACCTTGATGGTGATCTGTTTTTCCTGAGCCCTAGTTGGACTCAACTCGACCGCAGCAGGTTTCGTTTTTGGTTTTTTAATTATGCAGAGCTGTTTGTAGAAGTGGAGGAGGAGGAAGGATCAGTGGTCTGTTGCTGTGTGCTGTTATTCTGCATGGTGAACCTGTTTAGGAAGCTGCAAACGATTTCTCCGTAGTTCACACCTCTAGCTCAGCCTCATGTTTGCCCTACTAACAAGGAAGAAGGAGAAGGAAAGAGAATGCTTGTATTTCTCTAAGAGTTTCTGGTGCAAGAGGGGGACAGAGAGCTTGTAGATGCTTACTACTTCCTAAGTACTGTGAGGCATGATGGGGCAGCCCCTCCAGGTTTACAAAATACTCCTCATATTAATGAGAAAACCAGACCAAATCTATTGCTGTTGAGTCGATTCCAACTCATAATGACCCTATAGGGCAGAGTAGACCTGCCCACAGGGTTTCCAGGGAGCTGCTGGTGGATTCAAACTGCCGACCTTTTGGTTAGCAGCCATAACTCTTAACCACTATGCCACCAGGGGCTCCATATTAATGACAGGTTTAGTATTTTAGCCATTTTTTGAGGAAGCAGTGAGCTTACTGTGTAGTGTAATTTAGCATAATGGTACTGGTATTATTTGTGACAGTATTTACACAGTAAACAAGTTTGACGATTTCAATGAACTATACCAAGTTCGAGTGCCAGGCTCCATATAGGCATACACTTACACATGTGTGTATGTATGTAGTGTATATGTAAGTATGTAAACACATACTCACAAACCTAAAACACTGCAAGGTAAATAGTATCCCCATTTTATAGATGTAGAAACTGAGGCTCAGGTCAGTTAAGTATGTAACTTGTTCAAGGTTACATAGCTAATAAATGACAGCTAGGATCTGACCCAGGTCTGTCAAATCCCAAAGACTTCCCTCGTCCCACTATTCTCTAAGACCATGTTGTTCCATATGGTCGTCATTAGCCATGTGTGACTATTTAAGTTAATTAAAATTAAATATAAGTCACACGAGTCACATTTCAAGTGCTCAATCGCCACATGTGGCTAGTAGCTGCTGTAATGGACAGTAGAGATTCATGTAGCATTTCCATCATCACAGAAAGCTGGCTCTCTCGATGCTGCTCTAGAATCATACCCTGGTAATGGTGCTGGGAGAAAACAAACATGTACTCAGTTGCCTAGAACATAAGGCAGACCCCATAACAGGTGCTGTGCTAGAGATAAAAGCAAGTTCTATGAAAACAGTGGGAAGGGGTGAGGTTTCTTATAACTTCTCTTATGGACTGGAGTAGCCTATCTTAGATGGGGCCTTAGCAGTAGAGTATTGCCTAGAAGACTTGCCAAGCTTTCTAGGTTCAGTGATGCCCACCTTCTTGCCAAAGGGACTTTGGTATGCAACATGCCTTGCTTCTGACTCTGCCCATTTCTGGCTGTGTGACATGGGGAAGGTTGTCTGACCTGTCTCATCCTAGTCCTTTATCTATAAAATGGAGAGATTTCCCTTTCTTGTTTGTGAAGTTTAATTGATGCATATCTTGTTTTTCTTCTGCCTTGTTTTTTTTTTTTTTTTTAACCTGAGCTAATGCTGTAAATTCCTCAGGGTGAGTGGGGAGGGAGCTGTTAAAGCTTTGCAGAGGTATATTGAGCTCATACTTGCCAGCAGAGTGTCTTGATCAGAATTATTACAGGCCAGTCATAGCCATTTCTAAATTATTATAAGGAAGAGCAGCTTGTGGTTCGTGAGCCATGTGAGGGCCTGCCCAGGTTTGCCATATGGCCTGTTCTCGTAGCAGACTGCCTCCCTGTTTCTACTGCTCATATGGTCAAATAGTGATATTTTAATGAATGAAAAGCACTGTCAGTTTTTTCGTGGGTCATTTACTTTGTTGAATAAAGAATGACAAAGTTAAAACAATACACAATTTTTCCAGAGGAAGAAGGAGAGTCAGGAATAGGAGGAGGATATGGAATGTGTGGCTAATGGCCTCCATGAACAACTGCCTTCTTTGCCATGAGACCAGAAGAACTGGATGTGCCCTGCTACTATTATTGAACATTTGATCAAAGATTCCATAGAAGAATCCTGATTAAAGGGGGAAAATGCAGAACAGAATTTCAAGTTTTCATAGACTCCAGACTTCCTGGAGCCATGGGGGCCAAATGAATCCCTGAAATGATTGCCCTGAGATAATCTTTAAATCTTAAACCAGAAGTATCCCGTAAGGTCTTCTTAAAAGCAAATAATAGTTTAGCTTAACGAGTAAAGAATGTCTGCTTTTTAGATCTATCTATATAGGATCAGAGTGACAACAGCAACTCTAAAGATTAGATAGAAACCTTAGAGGGCAGTGAATTTATGTTAATAGGGGAGGAATAATTCAGAAAAGGAGAGTGAGAATGGTTACACGACTTGAAGAATGTAATCAGTGCCACTGAATGGTACATGTAGAAACTGTTGAACTGGTGTATGTTTTGCTGCATATATTGTCAACAACAACAAAAAAAATTATTTTTAAAAAAAGAGTATACAGTTTTTCGTGGGGCTCAAAGCTGTTTTCATTTTGAATAGAGGAAAAATGTGACACTTTTTTTCCTCCCTGCAACGGCTGTGTTGGAAAAAGGGTAGGTAGCTCACTACCACTTTATAGCAAACTCTCTCACCACTGTTACCCAAGACAGGTACCACTAGATTTCCCTGGCCTAGGTAAATACTCTGTTGTTGTTGCTAGTTGCCATCGAGTCGATTCCAACTTCTGGTGACCCCATGTGTCAAAGTAGAACTGCTTTCTAGGGTTTTCAAGGCTGTGACCTTTCAGAAGCAGATTACCAGGCCTGTCTTCTAAGTTGCCTCTGGGTGGTTTCTAACCAGTCTTTTCAGCTAATAGTCAAGTGCTTAACCACTTGCGCCACCCAGGGACTCCAGTACTCTAGGCCTATGAAATGAAACTTCTGAGTGAGAAGACTGTGTATCTGGAACCACAGCAAGACTTCGACAAATCTAAATAGCATTTAACCAGACGTAATAAAATAATTTCCGTTCTTGATACGATTTAATACATTGGACTTCTAAATGATGTTTTCCTTTTGTTCCTTTGTGTCCTGTAGCGAAGTGATGATGATGACAGAAGCAGTGACAGAAAAGATGGGGCTCTTGAGGAGCAAATAGAAAGACTACAGGAAAAAGTGGAGTCAGCTCAGAGTGAACAAAAGAACCTCTTCCTTGTCATATTTCAGGTATCTTGGCCTGGGACATTAATATGTAAAAGGAGACAATATCTTTCTTTAGTTTAAAATATGTTATTTTTAATAATAAAAGTAATACATGTCCATTTATAGAACAGTTTTAAAATACAAAAAAATACAAAGGAAAGTAAAGTCACCTAAAAGTTCACTACTTAGTTCTAGCCATGTATACTTTGGAATTCTGTGTAGTTTACTTGGCATTCTCGCATAAACATTTCTCTGTACTTTAAAAAAATATTTTTTGATGCATTTGTCTTCTGTTTAGTTCCCATTGTTGAGCATTTAGATGACTGTTTTCCTTTCTGATGGATGTCTTTGTGCATAGATTCCTGTTCACATTTGTTATTATTTATTTGGAATAAATGCCAAGAAGTAAAATTACTAGGATAAGTAATTTAGACATTAGCATCTTTATATATTGCCAAAAAGGATGTACTGACTCACATTATCACCAACCTGCCTTTCTAGATTAACAATATTTAATGAATTATGAAAGTTAGGAATACACGTCACAAAGACAGGGTGGAGCAAACAATACCCTCAGGTCTATTTGTCATGAATGTAATTGCTTCTGAAGAATTCTCCCTCTAATGCTTCTTTAACTTTGTTTCCTCTTCCAGCGTTTTATCATGATCTTGACCGAACACTTAGTACGATGTGAGACTGATGGGACCAATGTATTAACACCATGGTATAAGAACTGTATAGAGAGACTCCAGCAGATCTTCTTACAGGTTTGTGGGAAACTTTGGTTAGATAATAAACACTGGTCTTCTCAGCCACAAAGACTTTCCATTAAAAACATCATTGTCAAATTTGTCAGGACCTTATGTAGTACCCATAGCCCGTTTCAGTTCATGCCCATTTCCCCTCCCTACTGTTGCTCATCAGAATGTTTAAACTTAAATTCGTACTATGCCACTGAGATTCCTAATTGCCATTTTTTTACACTGGAGAACCTATCTGTAATATAAAATGTAAAGAAAAAAATGTTAAGGGCATAGTAATTGAATTTATAAAGATCCTTAAAATCTAATGTTCAGATGGTAAACATTGCCTACAGAAGCATGGTAAGTTCCCTGAGTTCTTTATACAAAAACAAAATGTAAGCCCTACCCCCTGCTAGATTTAAGTTAAAGATATTTATGAGAGTGGGACTAATTCTTTATTTTCTTCAGACACTAAACCTAAAAATCTTCATTTGTTCCAGAAAAATGATTAAAACAGAATCATTAAAGAGAAAAGTTAGATTGATTCTTTAAGCCTCTAAATAGGAATTCTGTCTAGATTATTTAGTTATTGCCAGTCTATATAGGAGCATACAGAAGAGATTATTTAATTTTTGACACTTTTTTTCCCATTTAGGTTCAACAAGGTGTCACAGATTTTTAGTAAGACAGATGAGCTGTTGATTTAAAAAACAAAACAAGGTTTGGGTTTCTTGTTTTGTGGAATACTTAATAGAGAATTCCAGTTCCTTTTTTTCTTTTGCAAAGAGATATCTTAAGGTTCTAAGAAAAAAAGGGGAAGGGACTGGTTCAAAAACACTTTCTTACGTTTCCCACACCATGGCTTTAACCTTAACCATAGCAATTTTGCTGTCCCTATTTATAACATATACCACCTTGTTGTCTTTTTTTTTTTTTTTTTTAATTCTCCTGGGTCAGTTTCTGCCATCTGGGTTGCTTTAAAGAAATAATGTACTATGTCCTAATTGGTTGGGGGCAGGAGCAGCTGAACCTAGTCTGTAAGAGAAGTAGTAGCAGCACCTGGTGCCACTGCCTTGCATCATGAACTGTATTTACATAGAAGCTGGTCAGAACTGGAGTTGTTTTTTTTAATTGTACGTTAGATGAAGGTTTACAGAAAAAAAAGTTTCTCATTAAACAGTCAGTACACATATTGTTTTATGACATTGGTTAACAACGCCATGACACATCAACACTCTCCCTTCTCGAACTTGGAGGACTTTTTTTTTTTTTGGTGAAAATATACCTAGCCAAAGTTATACCATTTCAAAAGTTTCTACATGTACAATTCAGTGATGTCAATTACATTCTTCCAGTTGTGCTGCTGTTCTCACTACCCTTTTCCAAATTATTCCATCACTATTATCTTCAACTCATTGCCCCCCTAGGCTTCCCATCAAACCTTTTGAGTTGCTGTTGTCAATTTGATCTCACATAGATAATTCTTTTTTTTTTTTTTGTACTTTAGATGAAAGTTTGCAGAACAAATAGTTTCTTATTAAACAGTTTGTACACATATTTCCCTATGACAATGGTTAACAATCCCATGACATATCAGCACTGCCCTTTTTCAACCTTGGGTTCCCTATCACCAGCTTTCCTGTCCCCTCCTGCATTCTAGTCCTTGTCCCTGGACTGCTGTGCCTCGTTAGTCCTATTTTGTTTTATGAGGCTGTCCAATCCCCAGCTGAACGGTGAACTTTGGGAGTGACTTCAGTACTGAGCTAAAAGGGTGTCCAGGGCCATACTCTTGGGGTTTCTCCAGTCTCTGTCAGGTCAGTAAATCTGATCTCTTTTTTTTGAGATAGAATTTTGTTCTACATCCTTTTCCAACTCTGTCCAGGACACTCTATTATGCTCCCGGTCAGAGCAGTCAGTGGTGGTAGCCGGGCACCACCTACCTAGCTGTACTGGACTCAGTCTGGTGGAGGCCATGGTAACTGTGGTCCATTAGTCCTTTGGATTAATTTTTTCCTTGTATCTTGTTCTCTTCATTCTCCCTTGCTCCCAAAGGGGTGAGACCTGTGGAGTATCTTAGATGGCTGCTTACAGGCTTTTAAGACCCCAGATGCTACTCACCAAGCTAGAATGTAGAACATTGTCTTTATAAACTGTGTTATGCCAGTTGAGCTAGATGTTCCCCGAGACCACGGTCCCTACAGCCCTGCGCCCAGCAATTCAGTCCCTCAGGGAGTTTGGAAGTGTCTATGGAGCTTCCATGACCTTTCCTTATACAAGTTGTGCTGGCTTACCCAGTATTGTGTACTGTCTTACCCTTCACCAAAGTTACCACTTAGATATTGTCTGTTTAGTTTCTCCACACACACACACCTCCCATCCCTCATAACCAGCAAAGATTGTTTCTTTTTGTGTATAAACTTTTCCCTGAGTTTTTACAGTAGAGGTCTCATACAATATTTGTCCTTTTGTGATTGACTTATTTCACTCAGCATAATGTCCTCCAGTTTCATCCATGTTATGAGATGCTTCACAGATTCATCGTTGTTTATCTTTGCATAATACTCTATTGTGTATATGTACCATAGTTTGTTGATCCATTCATCTGTTGATGGGCATCTAGGTTGTTTCCATCTTTTTGCTATTGTGAACAATGCTGCAATGAATATGGGTGTGCGTATATCTACTCGTGTGACGGCTTTCTTATTTCTCTCGGATATATTTCTAGGAGTGGGATTGCATTTTGTAGTGCTTTTTTTTGTGATGCTGATGTTTTCTTTGTTCCTCTTACTCTCCTGTGCTGAGTTCCTTTTGTTTGTGGGGTTTTTTTTTTTTTTTATTTCTTTTGTTTTTGTAGGTTTTGTTCTTACTGAGACTTAATGTTTTTCTTCTTTATTTTGATGAGTAGGTTTGTAAACTGTCTTTGTGGTTACCTTGAAATTTACCCTTATCTTCCTGGATTTGAACCTGTCTATTATTACTTGGTATCACCTTGCCTTCCTCTGCATTAGAAGATTGTATACCTACACCATTTATTCCCTTTTTATTGTTCTGATGCTGTTGTCATTTACAGATTAACCTCTCTGGTTCTCTGTTGTAATTCTTCTGGTTTTGCATAGTCTTAAGAGTTCATTTCATAGGTTGGTATCTGGCTAGTACAATCCTGTGTCCTGTATTCAGCCTGTGGTCTGATCGTGTTTGTTCTCAGATCAAAGGACTCCCTTTAATAATTCTTGTAAGTTTGGTTTGGTTTTTACATAGTCCTTAACTTCTGTTTTTCTGGAAATGACCTAATTTCACCATCATATCTGAATGAGAGTTTTGTAAGATATATTATTCTTGGCTGGCAGTTTTTTTCTTTCAAGGTTTTATATATGTCATCCCATTGCCTTCTTGCCTGCATGGTTTCTGCCAAATAATCCGAGCTTAGTCTTATTGTTTCCCCTCTATATGTGACTTTTTGTTTTTCTCAAGCTTCTCTCAGGATTCTTTGTCTTTGGTTTTAGCAAGTATGATTATGATATGCCTTGGTGATTTTCTTTTGGGTTCTTTTCTATATGGGGTTCTTTGAGCTTCTTGAATGGTCAGCTTTTCATCTTTCATGATATTGGGGAAGTTTTCTGTCAGCAATTCTTCAGTGATCCTCTCTGTGTTTTCTGTTTTCTCCTCCTGTTCCAGAACTCTGATCACTCATAGATTTTTGCTTTTGATTGTATCCCACATAATTCTCAGGGTTTCTTCAGTTTCTTAATTCTTTTTTCTGATTTTTCCTCAAACAGTTGTATCCAAGTGTTTGTCTTCAATTTCGCTGATCGTATCTTCCATCATTTCAGACCTACTCCTCAGCCCTTCTATGCCACTGTCCATTTCTGAAATCTTGTTATTTATCTTTTGGATTTCTAATTGTTGTTTTTGTATGATTTCTAGTTGTGAA